CTCTGCATTCTCAGCACCTGGCAGTGTTCAGGAAATGTGGGGGCAGAAGGTAACAGTACATACATCTTTGCTTCAACAAAAAAATGGTTTCAACATTTTTAGACCTGTAGTTTTTAAGATATAAAGAATCTGGTGGTCCTGGTCAAGCAATGTCCTTAATTCACAGCCATGGAGATGGAGGTCCTGAGAGGTTCCTAATGGCCTTTTGCCAGTCAGGCAGAGGTCGGGTGGCCAGTGGTGGAGCAGACAGCCAGTATCACATTCAAGCCAAGCTCAGAGGGTTTAGTGCATGGCTAACTTCAATCTACTGCTGCAACTATATGTCTGGAGACTGCAATCCACACAATCAACCTAGGGCTGCTACTTGGACTGGACCCACTCCCTCAAACTCATTTAAACTTCTCTTAAAACCTTAGGAGAAAAAAAAAAGTGTATATTAGCAAGTGTCCTTTCCAAAACTCCATTGATTGTCCTGTTCTCCCAACAATGTGATATCATAATACACACTTTCACTACAGTTACCCTCTGTCCTTGCTTTTCTTTTTCTTTCTTTTTCTTTTTTTTTTTTTTTTTTGAGACAGAGTCTCACTTTGTCACCCTTGGTAGAGTGCTGTGCAGTCACATCTCACAGCAACCTCCAACTCCTGGGCTTAGGCGATTCTCTTGCCTCAGTCTCCCGAGTAGCTGGGACTATAGATGCCCTCCACAATGCCTGGCTATTTTTCTGTTGCAGTTTGGCTGGGGCTGGGTTTGAACCTGCCACCCTCGGTGTATGGGCCGGAGCCTTACCCACTGAGCCACAGGCACCGCCCTATCCTTGCTTTTCTTACTCCATCAACAAAGACAAGACCAATAGCTACCATGTGCCAGGCCTGCAGGGAGGCAGAGGTGAACAGCACAATCCCTGCTCTGCTCTCAAGGAAGCTGTAGCTCAGGCAGCGTCACTCAGCTTTCCTGAGGCTTTTGACCCTCACTTCCTGCAGAAGTCCTTGGAACAATTTCACTTTTGTAATGGCAAAATTATAAGCTCAGGCTAGAAATAGGCACACCCAAAGTTCGGAGAGCCTTCAGACACCTCCAGGTCTTATTCCTCAGATCACATGCAGGGAAAGCTAGGCCTGGGGAGAGTTGCTTTCCTTTGAAGATACAATTAACAAAAAATAAAGATGGAAGGGAAATTATAATAATAGTTGCTTTAGAATGCTAAGATTATAGGGAACTTTTTTCTATTTTCCAATATTTTTGTAATGGGACTATATTACTTTTATAATCAAAAGATAA